CATTTCAGTAGTGTGCTGTAAATTAGTTAAGTGAAGAAGCTTACAATTCCAATGAATTTATATTAAACGACTCATCTTTTATTTAATCAAGTGTACTGAGGTTACAGCTATTCTTTTCTTGCATTTCTCTCTCTCATCTCTATCTGTCTCTATCTCTATCTTTATCTCTCCCTCCCTCCCTTCCTTCCTTTCATCCTTTTCCTATCAGGGGTTAAAACAAACACATGAACAATATAATTATGCATTTTGTGTACATATATTTTATATTCAAGAGAGCCCATGTGTCCCGGAATGCCACAAACATAAGTGAAATATGTTGTAATATTGTTTCGCTGCAATACTGGCATAGCTGGCATTAGCATGCTGGGCAAAATTTAGCAAAGTGGAAGTAACTTGTCAATTTTTAATAAAGTCTTCTTCCCTTGCAGAGCTAACTGCACCATTCTCCCTGCAAACTCTGGAGATGATGACATCTTCCCACATGGTTTCCATAGCATCCGTTCCTGAAGAGCCCCAGAATGGTCCTTGGTCAGGGCGATCCGCCCAGCTCCCTTAGAAAGTTGGCAACCTTGCTAGCCAAAAGCAGCTTCCCCTTTTCCTGAAACTTACTCTGTCCGTGGTGCTGAACCATTCTGCCGAGAGACCCGCCCAGATCGGCGCTGTCAGCCTTGGTGAAAAAAATCTTCCCTGACCCTGCCCAAATCAGAATTGTGTGTCTGTTATTTACTCACGTCCTCAAAATGCAGCAAGGCTTCTCCATCTTAATTCGATTCTACTGCAGAGCAGAGTACGCTGGCGTGATGGGAGGAGGTTGTGGGCAGGGAGGAAAAACTGATAGCAGCATTGCTCACCTGACACCTGAGATGCTCCCATGAGTTTTGAATGTGTTCTGCTCCTTACAGCAAAGACACCATTTTAAAAAGTACTATTCCTTTGACTTTGCCCTTACACAAGGATTCTGTGATATTCTGTCCCCTTCGTCTAAAAGCCAGCAGATCTGAAAGCAATAAGCCTTCTAAACCGGGAATTTACACTGTTTTTCCGTGGACCGACTTCCAGGACAAGGACTCACTCATCTGCATCCGCCCAGATACCATGGCACTGCGTGCACCCTTTGCCGCCGGATCCTCCCCTTCCAATGAGACTTTCTGATTGTGTCTACCAACTCTCCTATTAGGAAACCCGTGGGTTGCATGCAGCTATTCTGTTGTATTCTCATTCTCACTCTCCCTCCCCTTTCTCACTCACACTCTTGCTGGAGGCACACCAATACCATTCTGCTCAGAAGAAAAAGCCCACAACTACCCTGAGCGATTAAGACAATATGCGCAACCCTCGCCTTTCATAGCGATCACTATTTAAATCTGGCAAGAGCGGACAACACTCTTTGCAAGAATGGAGTCAGTAAAACAAAGGATTTTGGCCCCAGGAAAAGAGGGGATAAAGAATTTTGCTGGAAAATCCCTCAGCCAGATCTACAGGTAAGAGAAAGCAAACCCATGCTTACCTGCGGCTCAGCATGAAAAAATCTGCAGGGCCATTTCCGCAAACCCTGCTTGCTCAGAGAGATTGTAATATGATCGGAAAACCTTTTTGTTGTCCTTTGCTAAAGTAGGGGCTGCTCTGGAAACCTGTTTACTAATGCAGGAATGTTGCACTAAATGAACCTGTCTGCTGTGTGTGTGTGTGTGTGTGTGTGTGTGTGTGTGTGTGTGTATAAGAGAGATTTTTGTTTGGGTACCTGTAAATAGATTTTCATTCTTCTCTACCCAGGATTTATCCTCTTTACAATTGAGAAATGATCGGCACCTGTTCAAAGAATTTCTTTCTTTCCTTCTTT